TGGGGTTGTTCTAAATGTTTTACAGTGAAGGGCATACAGCTGGGGTTGTTCTAAATGTTTTACAGTGAAGGGCATACAGCTGGGGTTGTTCTAAATGTTTTACAGTGAAGGGCATACAGCTGGGGTTGTTCTAAATGTTTTACAGTGAAGGGCATACAGCTGGGGTTGTTCTAAACGTTTTACAGTGAAGGGCATACAGCTGGGGTTGTTCTAAATGTTTTACAGTGAAGGGCATACAGCTGGGGTTGTTCTAAAAGTTTTACAGTGATGGGCATACAGCTGGGGTTGTTCTAAATGTTTTACAGTGAAGGGCATACAGCTGGGGTTGTTCTAAATGTTTTATGTATACATATACATTTTTGTAAATCAAAGTGATTTTAGAATTCAAATGTATCAATCAAGAATATTGTGACATCATTGTTAGTTTTAATTAATATTAAAGAGGTAGTTCAACATTATATAATGAGTAAGTCTCTCATTTTGAAAAGGTGAGCGGTTGCAGTTGCTATGTCGCATGAAAGCATGCACACGCATTATGAGCGTAGACAATCTTGAGCCCTTGAGCCAATCACTATTAAATATTTGAATGAGAGCTGATCTTGGTATATTTACAAATGTGTTTATATGCTAGGGTACAGCGTTATGCTCTTTTCAAAAAGCTTACATTTCCATTTTTCATAATACATCTTCTCTCGCTGTGTTTTCAAGGTCATGTCTCTTTATCTTCATTTGTATATCACAGTGCATGATTGCCTGCCCCTTATTTTATCTACCCTTGAGATATAAATTCAACTGTTAATCAGCTCTGTGGATGATAAATAAAAATCTTCTCAAACTAACAAGTTATTTTCACTCTACAAACACTTTGATGCAATTATTGCCATAATCTGCTACAGCTATTCTACCATCATTACACACTGCTACACCATAGGGGCTACTCAGTCCATCCTTGTCACTATCAATCCTACAAATAAACTGTCCATGGCTGTCATACTTGGTGACTTTATGCACACTGCTGACATATACATTATCATTCTTATCCACAGCCACTCCCCGGGGAGAACTCATTGAACTGATTTCAAACATGAACTGGTCATCAGAATTGAATACCTGAACACTGCCGATGTGAGCATCTGACACATACACTATCCCTTTGCTGTTGATCGCTAAAAAAGAGGCCTGTTGAACTTTTGCTTCTCACCAAATAAACTTATGTATCTACCACGCTGTGTATACTTTCTTATACACCCCTGAGTCCACTCACTCACATAAATATTCTTATTAACAGGATTAATTGCAATTCCAGCTGGTTGATTCATTTCAGAGCTTCCAAACTTTCTAATTAACCTTCCATTTTCATTACTTACAACTATTTGTTTATTACTCTCATCTGTTATGAAGTATTCATTTTTATCTGATATAGCTACATCACACGGTATGAATGGTTTTGCAAATTGATCACTAAATGTAAATGATTGTTTATAATTTCCGTCTCTGTCATGTATGGCCACTCTCTTGTTCTGTTGATCAGCTGTGACATAGTCACCATGTTTGTTCATAGTTATTCCTTTAGGATTATTGAACTGTCCTTGTCCTGCATTTCCCACTGTCTGTGCCAATCCTCTGATATAAACAGGAATATGGAATGGTGATCCTGGTAAGTGTTGGTTAACAATCGTCATGGCAATTTGCTGTTTCCCTTCCATCTTTCCTGTTATCTTCACATGACAAGTGCCATCCTTATTGTCAGTAACATCAATATCTTCCCATGATGCATCACGGTTCTTTGTCTTTACATTGACAAATTGATTGGCAATGATTTGATTTCCTTTTGAATCTCTGGTTGTGATGAGCAGGTTGACAGATTCGCCTTCCACAAGTAGTTTTGGAATGTTTTCAACAGTACATTTAGACTGGCAGGCTTCAGTTTGAATCACTCCCATCAATGCATGGGTAGCAAGGTCACTTCCTGGATGAAACTCAATGCTATTGTGAATGATTGGTGGTTTGATTTCCATAGCAACCATCTCTTTTATGCGCTTTTTAGTTTCAAGCTTGGTAGATACATGTAGTAAGTGAACAGCATTCCCATGATGCACTAGTGTGTCTAGATAATGATGCGTGCTGACTATGTTGCCATGGTGAAATTGCATCTCATCGATTTTCATTGTTGCATCTTTTAACTGCAATCTAGAAGTTTCATCTAAGGCATCTATCAGCATCTTCTCTTCTCTCTTTACTCTCTCTATCACTTCCTTTGCTCTTTTCTTAACTTTTGCTTTCTCTGCCTCACACTCATTTCTCATTTTTTCTACTGTAGATTCAGCTGATGCTTTTTCTTCTTCCACTTGCTTCTCTTTCACTTTCAACTGCTCTAACATTTTCCTCAGTTGCGTTTTATATTCATCTACCACAATCTTCAAGTCATTATGAATGTGTTCAGGAGCTTTGTGGTTGACTATGGTACACTTGAGGCAGACAGGTACCTGGCATGTGTCACAGTAGAATTCTAAATGGCTGTCTTTATGATCACTGCAGAAAACTTTGTACTCTTTAATGAGATGATCCTTGGACTCTATTTCTCTGTACTTATCAATCGTGATCACTTCATGAGAGCGGAGAGCTGGAAAGCGTTCATGAATAGTAACACAGACATCACAGCAAAATTGAGGACAGTCTACACACCTGTGAGTTGCTGTCTTCTCTTGGCATGCTTCACACACTGGTGGATGGTCAGTATTCAGCTGCTTCTGTCTCTGGAACGTATCTAGTAGGCTTGTTAAAAAAAAGTTGGACTTTAGTTCCTGGATGGGTGTGTCACACTGAATTCTGCATCTTGCACACTTCAGAACACCTCCAGATTTGGCCTTAAAATCCACCAGACATTGCTGACAGTATGTATGAAGGCATGGTAGGACTGTAGGTTTCTTGTAGATTTCCAAACAAATGGAACAGCTGAGAAAATCCTCGCCAATTTCATCTAGTAATGATTTGGATGTGACGATGGGTGCTCTGGCCATTGTAAATGAATGTTTCAATTAAAGTAAAAAAGACTCCTGAGAAAAGTGTTAATTTGCAATTCTGTATTTCCTTATTATTGGTATTCACAATGGCCAGACAAGAAGTTGTGCCATACCTTCCAAATTGTCACCAGCTTAAGGGGCATTGTGTACAAGTAGAGTATCAAAAAAAATAAAGTCAGTTCACAATTAGGCCGCCATTTTGAATTTTAATGAGATTTTCCATGAAGCAAATGCAATGCAAGGTCAAAGTTCGCGTGGTACCAGACTGTATGCTGTTCCTAAGTACTGAGTATAAGGATGCTGTATTTTAGTTACTTTTCAAGGCAAATTGACCAAAAGATGAGTTTTTTTAACTTTTTATATGTAAATATAAGGCACTGCTGTAATGGCTTTCTTCTTTCTAATTATGAAAATGTGGAATATTTTATGGGGGTTTCTGTCTACCATCAGTAAGACACGATGGTATAATACTACACAGAATCTGAAATTTAATGTGTGTTTTTTCAAAAGTATTTTAATAGTAGCTAAAACTTTTCTTTATAATATGTTTTTTTATAAATGTTGTTTGAAATGGGAGACTCTGATTTGTATCCACAGATTAGTGTTTTTACAGTAGTTGCTGTTACTATACTTCCTGGATAACCCTTTTCTTCCTGAAAGGGGAGAATTGTTAACCTTTTTATTTGCTTTTGACTAAGATTTTCCTAACAAATCTGTTACTTTAAGTTACTGTGCTTCCTCCTCATTTTACTTATCAAACTGAAATACTGTGTTGGTATGTTTTGTTTAATTATTTGTACTTTTATTTACATGATTTCTAAACCTTTTCATCAGTTGTTTTGCCACAATAAGGTATTCTGTTTGGGTTTTTCATCAGCATGCTGTTTAAAATGGGAAATTATGTTTTTTTTTTGTTATAATGTCAATTGTAATTCTGTCTTGATGGGTGCGAAATACATTTGTACCTTGTAATTTTGATCTATTGAATAGGCTACTTACATGACCCCTAAAGGTCACACATCCTGGTACTTTTATTAGTATGACAGCATTACAAACGTGCATAATTAGGGCATTTAATTGCATCCCATTGTACTGAAGTAGCTAAAGCATATAGTCAAGTCTGAGAAATTGTACAAAAAATATAAATAAAATGAATTTATTTTTGATATTCATACCAAAGAAAACACCAGGATGTGTGACCTTTAGAGGTCATTAAAGTACCAGGATGTGTGACCTTTAGAGGTCATTGAAGTGACCTATTAGTGAACTTTGCCGTTAATTTCTGCCATGCAATTTTGGATATTATTTAGAAGGTACTCTCCTTAATAAAATGTTATTCATTGGTATTATGCTACTGTAAAATTCTTTTAGCTGGAATAAATTTTTTGCTGAAAAGACTTTTTGGGCTGTTGTGTATGGAATTTATTTTCACTGATTTTTCACAAGTTGAAAGTAAAATACAGGAAAAAAGATATACTCGCTGGATTTTATTTTCACTGAATCATTTCTTCAGCGAAAATAGCGAAAAATAATATTTAATATAAAGTATTTTACAGTACTACATCCTAGCATGTACTATGTGTTATTTATCTAATCTTATTATTATAGTGAATGAATATACAGTATATAAATGACTAATTTTCGCCGGGTTTAAATTTCACTGATTTAGCATTTCAGGCATATTCAGTGGGTTTTAAATTCATTGTTTTATCATTTAGATAATGTGTTCTGTGCTAAATTTTACATATTCACTGGGTTTTTATTTATCGCATTTTTTCGGTCAGCGTAATAAGGAAAATTAAAACCCAGTGAATAATTAACCCTTTTATGGTAGTGAATGATTTATTAATACTTGTTAACTAGATAAATAATTATTATTTGGACTACATTGTATTTATGAGCATGGTGATATGTTTTTGCCAGCTTGTCTGTCTGTCTGTCTGTCTGCCTGCCTGTCAGTCTGCCTGCCTGTCTGTTTGCAGTTGGGAACGAATTTTCCTTACATTTTCAGGAGGGGTTGCCCTTGGACTAATACATTACATTTTTGAAGAAAACTATGTACAAATGTATATGGTTGCCATGGAAATGGGGTGGGGCATAACTAAAAACAAAATTTTGGATGATTTTTTTTATGGTTTTTCTCGCCCTGTTCTGACATAGTTTGAAAACAGCATTTTTGTAATTTCACCTTTCTGCACGTGTATTTATTTGACCATCAGATTCAAGGTGGCCAAATGGCAGCCATTTTAATGTTAAAAATTCATCTGAATAAAGCATTTTTGCAGATTTTGGTTATGTATGGATGAATTTTGTTTCAAACTTGGTACATACATCAGACATTATGACACCTTGAAGCACATCATGTATTTGTTTTTCAGGTCAGACTCAAAATGTTCGACTGGTGACAATTTTGTTTCAATTAACACTGTTCCAGAGTCATATCTCTGACATGACTTGACTAATCGTGCTGAAACTTTATAGAAGATGACTATCGGCCATCATACAACATGATTTTATATAGAGCAGGTAATATACATTACTTCATTTTGAGTAAAATGATAACTCAATTCAGTTTCCACAATCAAACATACCCAACTTTCCACTGGATTCTGTGATGCCATTGGTCAGAAATAAATGAGTGTGATTGAAATGTGCGTAGAACTTGCATGGAACTGAGATCACCATCACGGTACAACAAGTCTTTATGGTTTGTGATGTGCTGACGTGCTCAGATGATAGATAATTCCAACCTGAAATGTATCAATTCGTTGTTTTTGTGGAATTTGTTACAAATACTGGAGAAGCTTATTGCCTGTACATATCTTTGATAAATTAACACCACAGCCATTATGAATACTACAGTTTGATATTTATTTGTTTGTTTGTTTGTTTAAAAAATTCATGACTAAGGGGTGGGGACCATTAGCAACTCTGGGGGGGGGGTGATGGCAGATTTGAAAACAAAAATTGCACAGGAAAAAAAATACTAAAGTGATCAATAACAAAAATATTCTTGATGTCTATTTCTTAGGCGAAAACAATTAGTGCAAGACTAAATAAAGGAAAACATATGTTTTGCATAGATTTTTTTGCCATCACCCCTGAGTTTCTAATAGTCCACCTCTATTTTACCACATGGGCATCACCACAGCATGATATGTGTAATACTGTAAAGGGGGTAATTATTCACTGGGTTTTAATTTAGCTTATTTCGCTGACTGGAAAAATGCGCTAAATTAAAACATAGTGAATATGTAAAATTTAGCATAGAACACATTATCTAAATGACGAAACCGTGAATTTAAAACCCACTGAATATGCCTGAAATGGTAAATCAGTGAAATTTAAACCCAGTGAATATTAGTCATTTTACAGTACTGGACAAATCGAAAATGCTTGTTGCATAGTTTGATGTCACAATTACCTACAGTATACAGTTAGCATACTGTAGAACATGTCTTTTTAGCGAGCATGTCTTTTTTCGCGAATTTAGCGATAGAACTGATTCGCTAATGACTTTATTATCAATTCAAAATGGCCGCCAAACAAAGAAATCAACAATGACAAGAGAGATTCGCTAAATCAACATTTCGCTATTACGTCATTTTACTACAATTCGCTAAAATTGCATGCCGCTTTTTCAACATGTTTTACAGTATAAGCCACCTGCTGTGATATATTTGTATTCAGCGTTTAATATAATGTCAATAGTTCACGATATTCAGCGTGCATTAATTTTTCAGACTGAAAATTACGCATGTGATAAGTATATTATCTTACAATATTTTCTCACAGTTTTACGTCATCTGTAATTTTTTATCAGGTATTAGTATTGTGTATTGTGTATCGGTATTAAAATACAATGAAATCATCGTACATATACGTCACAGTTGATCAGGCTTTTAGCCAGCCACCTGTCTACCTGTCATTTTAGACAGGCACTCCACATCTTAGACAGGTACAAAATAACATTTGACAGGCAAAAATTTCTACAAAACAGTCCTTTTTTGATTGAAAATCATCCAGAAATAAAAAGAAATATACAACAAAAAATTGATTGTAGGTCTGTGGTTACAGACTTGGGACTGCTATCTTGTTTTCGATAAAGATTTTAGACATGCTCTTTCTATTTTCTGGCTATAACCTGTAGTTGATTCATGCGGTCATAATAGATTGTATGATGTACTGTATAAAATGATATTAATATAGAAAAGAAATGTGAACTGAATTAATTTCAGTGCAAAATGTCTGTTTTGTAAGTCAGAGAAACCTAGAAATGTTGTAGCAGTGGGAGGTCTTTGTGACAGGGAGTCACAGTGCATGAAATCTTGTTCTCTCGATTGTTCTTAAATTATAGAATCATGAAAAGATATACAAGCGCGTTACCACTAATACAGGGAGATTCATCTAATGTTGGAGTTGAAATATTGTCTTATTGGATGCACGAACATAACTTGCCCTTCAACCAATCATAGAAAATCTTGTACATTTCGTGAATCAGTCCATCATTTTCTGGATTGGCATTGTACAAGTAGTGCGACTCAACTACTAGCAATATTTTTATTGTCCAATGCAAATTTTTAATATTTTTGTTTTTGTTTTATTGAATCTGCGAATTTATAAGTGAAAATACCAAAAATTTGCTTCCTTATGTTTCTCTCTTGTATGCTTGATTTGAAATTTACCCATTCGGCACCATTGTTACCTTCTACAAAGTCTTATACATTTCATCTGTGCATATTAATTAGGTGATTTGCATATCACCAACCCATTCATCACCATTGTCAACTTTAGCCACTTTCCAAGTTAAGTTCTTTATGTTCATATTAATTAGGTGATTTGCATATCACCAACCCATTCATCACCATTGTCAACTTTAGCCACTTTCCAAGTTAAGTTCTTTATGTTCATATTAATTAGGTAATTTGCTTAAACTTATCACGTTTTCATTCATTTTCATTAAGGATAAAACACAGCTAATTACTGAAAATTGAAAAGTGCAACAAATTGTTGATATTTTTGCTGAGCAAATGACCAAACTTGTGTCCAAGGAAACAATGACTGTGATATCCCATAGCAAGACCATTTTAAAATGAAAATTTATCAGTCAAAGTACTTTTTCAAATTATAGCTTGTCATACAGTATTTGTAACATTCAGCATTCTGGCAAGAAAATGACCATGAGTGTGTTTAATAAGGCCATGGGAAAGATCAATAAGGCTGAGTGGTTTGAATAGGGCTCTTAAGGTTAAGGTGAAATAAGGTGAGAATGTGTTTAATAAGGTATCAGATGGTTTATTTTTGTGCCAGGCGACAGTTCCGGACATTGAATGTGCATTTTTTGACACAGAAGCCATATTTATGTTTGGGACTACATGACAGGGCTGTGTGGCCATCTCCCTATCAAATGGCAATTTTAATGCGCTATATATCCTGGCGTCAACCAGGTTCAGTCGAACACAAGCACCAGCGGATCTTAACCAAGGTTCCCCCAAGGTTGCATTCGTTAGTGAATGAATCTCGGCCAATGGATTAGGCCTTCCCATCGAGTCTGTGGCACACTCACCCAGATTGGGTTTAATAAGGCTGCGAGAGGGATTAAGGCTTGGAGTGGGTTAAATAAAGCTGTAAGAGAGTTTAAGAAGGCTGATAGCAGATTAAATGAGACCAAGAAAGGGTTTAATAAGGCTGTGCGAGAGTTTAACAAGGCCGTGGTCAGGTTTAATGCAGGTTTAATGAGCAGAGGGTTTAATAAGGCTGATAGTGGGTATAATAAGGCTGATAATGGGTATAATAAGGCCATGAATAGTTCAATAAGGCTGTACAAAGTCCCTCTATGATAGAGGAACTGTGGGCTGTAAGAGGGTTTAATAAGGCCATGAATAGTTCAATAAGGCTGTACAAAGTCCCTCTATGATAGAGGAACTGTGGGCTGTAAGAGGGTTTAATAAGGCTGATAGTGGGTATAATAAGGCCATGAATAGTTCAATAAGGCTGTACGCAGTTCCTCTATAATAGAGGAACTGTGGGCTGTAAGAGGGTTTAATAAGGCTGATAGTGGGTATAATAAGGCTGATAGTGGGTATAATAAGGCCATGAATAGTTCAAAAAGGCTGTACACAGTCCCTCTATGATAGAGGAACTGTGGGCTGTAAGAGGGTTTAATAAGGCTGATAGTGGGTATAATAAGGCCATGAGAGAGATTAATAAGGCTGAGTGGATTTTATAAGGTCGTGAGAATAAGGCCATGAGAGGGTTTAATAAGGATGTGAGAGAATTTTATAAGGCTGTGGGAAAGTTTTTATTAAGGTCGATAGATGGTTTAACATGGCTGTTGAAGGATTTGATAAGATGAGTGTGCGTTTAATGCGGCCATCAGATTGTTTATTAAGGGTGAGACTACTTCAATAGAGCCGTGAAAGGGTTTAAAAGGTTGTGGGAGAGTTTCATAAGGCGGTAAGAGGGTTTTAAAAGAATAAGAGTGTGTTTAATAAAGACGTGAGAGAGTTTAATTAGGTGTGTGCTTAATAACGCCATGGGACATATAATAAGACTACGAGAAGGTTTTATTAAGGCTGATAGAGGGTTTAACGTGGCTGTTTGATAAGTTTTAATAAGGCTGTTTAATGAGGCCATCATATGGTTTATTAATGCTGAGAGTGTGTTTAATAAGGCCGTTAGAGGGTTCAATAAGTCTGATATTGGGTTTAATAAGGCTGTTTTGACATGGCTAGGATTGTGTTCAATAAGGCATTAGTGGGTTAAATAAGGCTGATAGTGGGTTTAACATGGCTGTTAGAGGGTTCGATAAGGCTGAGTGTGGGTTTAATAAGGCTGTTTTGATAAGGCTGGGGTTGTGTTCAATAAGGCCATTAGTGGGTTAAATAAGGCTGATAGTAGGTTTAACATGGCTTTTAGAGGGTTCGATAAGGCTAAGTGTGGGTTTAATAAGGCTGTTTTGATAAGGCTGGGATTGTGTTCAATAAGGCATTAGTGGGTTGAATAAGGCTGATAGTGGGTTTAACATGGCTGTTAGAGGGTTTGATGAGGATGAGAGCGGGTTAAGGCTGTTTTGATAAGGCTGGTATTGTGTTCAAAAAGGCCATTAGTGGGTTAAATAAGGCTGAGAGAGAGTTTAATAAGGTAGATGGTGGATTTAATAAGGCCGCGATTGTTCGCTGCAAGTACGTTTATCAAACACTACAAATCATATTCTTTTTTTAGAAAACAGTTTATTAGACACAATCACATGACACTAATAGTAAACTATTACAGAGATGGACAGTGGGCATGCATTGTTTACGGTAACACACTCCAAATTATACACAATAACAGATTAGGAAGAGAGTGGATTTGCAATCTGGTTTCCATAGAAACGCGTTGCCATAGTGATAGTTTTGAAGAGTAAAATTGAACGAACACATAAAGTTATAAGTACATTTCGGTATTTTACACTGGGATGAAATTATTGCATGAGGATAGTGCCGAATAGATTCAATATTCAATATTTTTTTGTATTTATACATTCATTCAGACATCCCTCAGATTAGTTTCGATAATTTTCTTTAAATAATTAACCAAAAACCTTTTTAATATCGATAACAGCAATACTGCCTTATTCTTATAATTTGATATCCCTTTTTTTAACAATAAATAAATTAACACGTTGAAATACAAAATTACAAAAACAATGCAAAAAATCTAAAATTATTGAGAGATACTACACTTTCAGGTAGCCACATTGGTAAATGTGCTCTCCACGTTGGTCCCAGCTCACCTCTGCATAGACACACATTAAAGTCCACACTGAAGCAGACACGACAATGGATAATATATTTGGAATGAATCTTATTGGCTTAATAGAATGTTACTGGGTAATATAATGTAAATACAAGCCAGCTACATCCCCTTTCTCTAATACTAAAAGTAGACACACTTTTTTTTGTTATTGGTTCTTGGTCCCACTTTCTGTTATATAACTATCAAACAAAAACATGTTCATCGGGCAGGCTCAACAAATTAGCATATTCATGAACTGTTTTGCATAAATGGTGCATGTTATTCAAAGCTTCTTACTGAAACTAACTTATGCATATGAGAATTTTATGGAGATCTCGAAACAGACTCTCTAATTTCTTATTCACGATTAACTACAGGTGGGAATCAGGAAACAGTTCATGTATACACTCAATCTGCCCAGTACGGTTTCCAGGTGCCCTTTATGCCTTCGCAGCAGCGTTTTCCTCAAGTTCATTTTTCAGCACATCTTTGTACTTAGCTGGTAACTTCTGCAATTCATAAACATTATTTTCTGTTGAATCATAATCTTTAAGAACCTCGTTTGCTTCGTTCGAATTTTCTTCTGATTTGTAATCTTTCAAAAAAAAAAAAAAAACGGAAAACAATTATTTAGTATCAGTAATATTCCCTGGAAAGAATTTCAATAGCAGATTGCGAGTATTGTTACTTGCTTGTCGTGGTTAAATGTTCTAAATCCAACGTTTTTTCTTTCTGAATAACACACTTCCATCAGATTGCAGTGGCAGCACTGTGTATGCTTAGTATTTGTTATTGTTAACAAGTATTTGAGTATTAGACCGTGTTGCCAGTTTGTATGTTCGTAGTGTACATGTAGTGTATATATCAAGTAACAGCAACGTAACTTGGGCTTATTTATTTCACTTAGAAATTAAACAATTTAATCACAGAATTGATACACGTGTCATGCAAATAATTCGTGACCTCATCACTCATTACCAAACGCTTCAGCGTGGTATTAAGAGTTTGTTTTCAGGGGTGGGTGATACCAAGGTGGGAAATGAATGCACATATGGGGTTAATTCCTTGAATTGCAATATAGAGGGTTCAGGCTGAAATACAATATATAGTGTTTTCATGTTTCGTCTGATATTTCTGTGGTATTCTGCTGCTGTAAGTAATGCACGATTTGTTCCGAAATTCAGTATATTGTGTGTATTCCAGGGTTATTCGTTTTTTGCTGAAAACACCCCTATTTTTTAGTGGCAGAGTTTGAATAGTCTCACTCCCACTGGGAAATCTGCATTGTTGCTTGAATGTTAATTAAACACATTTTCCAGACCGGCGAAAGAGTATGCAACAGCCAATTTTAACAGCCTGTCACGTGATTTTAGTCTGAATGTCAACATGAAGAGGCTAGTCCATTTTACGCAGGAGTAATTGGGAGTAGAATATGTGAGGAATAGTATCAA